CAAGCAAGCTTCTACTTCATGGCCTTTGCACACACTGTTCCCTTTGCTGGAATGCTCTTCCCACACACCTCTGCTCAGGTGGCCCCCTCCTGCTCTCCACTGAAATGTCACCTTCTTACAGAGGCCCTCCTGACCCTGTTTTATTTTTTTCATGACACCTGTCATTGATGGCATTATATTATAGAATCACTTATTCATCATCTGATTCCCCTCCCTCCTTCTTGGATCTGTCTTGGAACTGGGATTTTCTTCTACCGTGATCTCCCCAAGGACGGATTAACTGTTAGCACATAGCAAATGTTTCATAAAAATATACACAATCAGCAACATTATAGAAACCAAATAACTGTACACTTTGGGCATGATGATGGCTGATAGTCACTGAGCTGGGTTTATATGCAGTGTCCTCTTCCTGGTGCTTCACAGTATCTGATACAACCTCAAATGGTACAAAAGAAAATACCTTCCCAGGGCCTCAAGTACCCCTAACTAGCTTACTGGCCACTTTGCTTTGTAATTCCCCCTACACCAGGGCCTTTGCTATCAAGGTGACCTACATGTGGGACAGTACAGCCCCACCTCATGCCTCTCCTCCAACTATAAACTTGATCAACTCCTTGATCTCAAATATCACTTTTACAGTGAGGCCTGTCCTGTCCTTGTCTTCAATACCGTGACCACTATGGGCCACTTCCCAGCTCGCCTATCTCCCTGGTGCTGCTCTATCTTCCTGTTTTCTGTAGCACACATCAGACATAGCAGATCATATCACTGACTTTGCTCCCCTCCTGACAGTCTGTTTTTTGAGACAGAGTCTTATTATGTTGCCCTTGGTAGAGTCTTATAGAGTCACAGCAAACTCACACTCTTGGGCTCAAGTGATTCTCTTGCCTCAGCCTCCCAAGTAGATAGACTGACTACAGGCGCCCGTCACAATGACTGCTATTTTTTGGTTGCAGTTGTCATTGTTGTTCAGTTGGCCCAGGCTGGGTTCGAACCCACCAACTTTGGTGGCATGTGGCTGGCACCATAACCACTATGCTACGAGTGCTGAGCCCTGATAGCCTGTTGAGTTCACAGATAAATCCAGGTACCTGGAAGGGTATCTAGCACCACAAGAGCCCAACAGGTTATCAGCACACTTTTGCTGAATGACCAAATGATCCTGTACAGCCATGAAATCAGGTAAATACCATCATCCCCATTTTATAGATGAGGAAACTGAGGCACAGAAAGGTTACATGGGCCTGAGGTCTCCTGGCTAGGAGTTGCTAAGGCAGGATTTAACCCAGGTGATCTGATTCCAGAACCTAGACTCTTAACTCCTGTGTTGAGCTAAATCCAGAAGAAGCATATGAGTATATTCTGAGCCTTGAAGGGTTAACAGTGAGAGGGACAGCTATGCAGGTAGGTGTCAGTTCAGGGAAGGAACTGGACTGGCTCATGGGAATATACCTGATGCTGTCTGCTGGGGAGTCTTGCATTTTATCTGCTTTAGGATTGTAGGAGGCAGAGCTATGAGCACCTGATTCCTAAACACCCAACTGCTGGTTTCTGGGCCAGTCAGAGCTGGGAGCTCCATCAGGACTGCTCCAGAACACCACAGGCTGGAATGTTTTCTAAAAGTACCTAAGCCTGCCCCAGCCTTTGCTGATTTTTTGTTTATCCCTCACCCCCACCTCCTAAATCTCTCCTCCAGGCCATAATTACTTCCAAGCTAGTGCTCCTGAAGGGTGTGCATGAATCACACAAAGTCAAAGGAAGGTGACTCCTGCAGGTAGGCTCAGGCTCCAGGTAAGATCTCTCTTATGCTTAGTCCATCTGCTAACCTCACAGAATCTGGGCATATGACAAATGGTGGCTCCCAGTAAACCTGTTTGTCAGAAGTGATTATTCCAGTAATGTAGAGGAGGAAATGAAGGCACCCAAGCTGGTAAAATAAAAAGAGCCGCGCAGCTAAGGGTCCTTGTACCCTAGTCCAACCACCTTCTCTCCACTTACTTGGCCAAGCCACTTTCTTTGGAGGCAGCGGTTTCTTTCTACTCGCCCTTGAAACGGGATCTGAAGGAAATCACAGCTACCCACAGTAGCTACGCTCCAGTAGATTGAGATTTTTCTCTTCCACGGGAAGAGTCCAACTTCAGTGCAGATGGAGAAGAAAGGGCTGTAGGGATCAGGCTTGCTCCAGGATCATGCTTGCTCAGGGACCAGGATAGATTTTTTTTCCCAAGCTCTGGAGTCTGAAAAATTAAGCATGACCCTGGGAAAAGCCACCTGAGAATTTGGGATGTACTGAGCATAGGATAGGATCTAGCAGCCCTGTCTCCGAGTAGGGATCCGGAGGCCATAATTCCTCCTTGTCCCGCACTGCCACACGACCTCGGTCCCAATCCCTTATCCTTTTCCTCCGCCTCAGTGTGAACAGCAGTAACCTTCACTCAAGCTGGCAATGAGCTGCCTAAGCCCCGACCCCCTAGCCCCTCTGCGCACTGCTCAGGCCCGTC